TTTTTTTTTTCAACATTTGTTTCATTACTTAACTTTCGAAGTTACATAGAGTCATAGTACAATACATGAAATCATTAAAGCTAAAGCAGAAGAATTAACATAGATATACGATAGCGAATCCAAGAAACATTCCGGATGCGTCGGTATAAAATTCACGGCTAGGCCGGAAAGAAGAGATTTAGTCACTTTGAACAAAGTGACGTTGAAAGATTACCCGTACCTCCAAATTTCGTCTTGACGAAACTGGTTACATCTTCTGGCCCCGTAGAGACGTCTACACAAGAATACAAATCGGTTAGGGAAAACTCGGTTTTGGTCCCGAGAAAGATATTACTCTCAATGAGAGAAGAAATGGTGGAATGATGCTCTTCCCGAATGGGTAAGAGTATGGAATAGCTTTCTCCAAAAAGGAAAGATTTACAGGATTTGAGAATCAAGAAAACTTGATTCTTTTTCGTGGAAGAGAAATCATCATCAAACTCAAAAGCCGATAATGTCTTTGAAATTCTAAAATATGAGCCACATTCAACAGAGAGAGTATCTTGCACGTCTTCAATGACGTAATACTTGGAGAGTTAGAGATTAGTTGGGGTTCGACCCGAAGAATACGAGTTATCAAACTGAGTTGTTTTTATTTTTCTTATATCTTTACGTACCTATCTATAAGTTATCGTTGAAATCTCATGTATCTTTATTGACTATTTTGCCACCAGAATTATTGATGTACTACATATCCTATGCTCAATATTAGATTATTTTGATAAGTAATTTTATTCTATTTATTAAATTACGTACGTAGCACTATCAAAGTGCAATGTCATCATTCCTAGAAATTAAAGTTGAATAAAGCTGATATACGAAGTTAGATAGTTTATAGTTTATTGAAAATAAGTTAGATAGATAAATCCTAATTTATGGAAAAACACAGCTTTTATAAGCTATTTAAAATTAGAGAGAAATTAAGCTAAAAAATTAGATTCCTAAAATCCTAATAAAAGAAAAGATTGAACTACTCTTCCACCCAAAAATCATATTATTTTCTCAATTCTAAACGTTTTGTTCATGTAAGAAATTCATAGTTAACAATTCATTCTTTAGATGCTAATTTTTTTTCAACGGGTTCACTGGATCATTTTGTCAATCTTTTGCAATCAAACTTCAGTGGAGATCAATACCGCAAAAATGAATTTTAACCACTTGACAAAACACTTCCTCACATAATTTTTTATAGCTCCACTCAGCATATATAATATGTATAAATGTATCCACCTATTCCCTAAGTTTCACCACTCGAACAAGTTGTTAAAGAAGGAAGAGAGAGAGAGAGTTTTGATTATAAGTAATTAACTTCTTAATCATGGGTTGTATAGATGGAAAATGGGCACCATTGATCATGATAATTGTAATTAACATGAGTACGGGAATGGTTAGCTCTTTGATTAAGAAAGTTCTTGATGAAGGCATTAATCATATGGTTATTGCTACCTATCGTTTGGGTATTTCCACCTTCTTTCTTCTTCCAATCGCTTACTTTTGGGAACGGTAGGTTTGTTCTCTTTTTTATTTCAATTATTTTGTTTCAGTTTTCAATTTTTACATTTCTTTGCTGCTTAATTAACTAAAAAAATATAATCATCTTATCATTAGTGGTTTCATGATTTGATTAGGAAAACAAGACCGAAGCTAACCATAAGTATTTCGTGTCATCTTTTCATCAGTGCCCTTTTCGGGTAGGTTTCAGTTTTAATCTATTAACTCTTAGTTTCTTCTAGTTAAGTCCTTGTGTGAAAATTCATATACATTTTTTTTCTTTTCAGTATGAGTTTGATGCAATATTTTTACTTGCATGGACTCTCCTACACTTCTGCGACATTAGCTACTGCTTTCACGGCGATAATGCCTGCCCTCATTTTCGCTATGGCTTTAATATTTCGGTAATCACAACGTTTTTAACATTATTTAAATCAAAGTATACCTCTACGTTATCATTTGAAGAGTATAAAACTTAACTTTTTTTTTTCTTTTCTGATAACTTTTTGTAGGTTTGAAAAGCTAAATATGAAAACAAAAGTAGGATTCGGCGTTGTTCTTGGAACTCTGATCAGCTTAGTAGGAGCTTTAGTTCTTACGATGTACCAAGGCATTCCATTAACTCACTTTCAAGAACAAGCAACCATTTCAAACAATCACACAAAACATGTACATGATCAGAATTGGATTAAAGGTTGTCTGCTTTTATTAACATCAGCTATATTTTTGAGTTCTTGGATGCTTATACAAGCCAAGATCAACGTGACATACCCTTGTCAATACTCGAGTACTGTTATTTTATCGGTCTTTGGTACGCTTCAATGCACGCTTCTTAGTTTGATCAAAACTAGACATTTGGAAGACTGGATCCTCAAAGACAAACTCACCATCGTCACCATCATTATAGCGGTACATTCATATATATAAATTATTTGTCATGTAATCATACATATT